AGAGGCAGCCAAAATAATTTCACCCCGATTTTCATGTGAAAGTCCATAGTCCACCGCAAATTTTTTTGGTGATAAATTTCCGTCTTTCTGACATTCGTCTCCAGACAGAGCTTGACCCCTAGATTGTCATTTAGTCTGGGAACAGTATAGAGTAAGGTCGTATCAATAATGCAGTCCATGTAGTATTAACCTTGTACTTCGTCCCTTTCTTGATGATCATAAAGGTTTATATAGCACCTCCGCACATCGTGGTATATTACAAGTAAAGAAGATTAAACTAAATGGCAGGCTACTGCCTGCGTGCTTTAATGGAACTTTGCATTTAATATGAGTTCAAATGAAACTGGGCGATACAGTGTAAATACAACAATAATATGCATTTTAGACAATGAAATAGCATGCATCGTTACTTCTACAATGGAGTTCATAAAACTGAAATCTTGAGTGTGATTATACACATGTATAAGCTAAACTGTTTTCATATGTTCATTTGTATACGAGCTAATTTTTAATTACCTTAACTGCGTGATGCATTGTTCCAACAATATTTTCACCGATTATGCAAGGAAATCTTTTTTAACTAAACAACATTGTATCTTTGATGCTTAACACGTTTAAAAAAACATAAGTTATAAAATGTGTTGAAATTTTTTCTGAAAAACATGATGAATCGCTTTACATGTGTTTAGATGATTTTTAATAATGATTAAATAAATATTATATATTAAATTTTCAACTAACCTGCCTTGTACGCTGATTTAGGAATCAGATCTGGTAATGAAAATAGTGATAATATAGTTAGACAACAAAGCAGAAATCAGAATCATTGTACCTGTTTCCAAGATACTATGCCTCTGATAAATAAATCTATATTCTAATGACTATATGAAACCGAAGTAAGAAGCAGGGAAATGTAATGCTTTGCCTGTTTGTAAAAAGCTATGTTCACAGCCAATAGACGGTTGAAACAACCCTATTGTCTCCCTTCCACAAGAAGGGTATTTTCTTATAAATGTTACTACAGGGAAATATTTAGGTTCATGTGCAATATTTAGACAAAGGGAATGGCTAGTACTTTAATTTCCGAATATCTCAAATATTATTCATCATTTTTTAATGAAAAAGAGATTCAATTTATAAGGCCTCGTTAATATACCTAATTGGTAATCCACTTCTATTATCAATTTCTATGCATAAATAGTTTGATTTCTTTCCTATGTTGATTCTTCGATTCTCCGAGATTTTGTATGGGTTGATGGCTGGACAAAAATCTACAATGAAGTTTAATTTTGACGAACATAAAAGTTAATAATGCTAACTAGTAATAAAGATTTACTTCGGTGTTAAATCCAGATATAAATCTAGATGCTGACTGATGGCGAGTGGAACCCGTCTCCATCAGCTCAAGAGACACTGACAGTCCGAGTTCAGCCCGATTGAAGTGTGAAGACAAAGGAGCCTAGCTTTCGCTACACAGCCTAGCCCTTCGGGACGACGACATTCCACCTCCGTGATGACGACGAGCTCGAGTTCACCCTTATCTTTCTTTGTATTTTCACATTGACTTGCTGGGCCTCGCATTTGTGTGTTAGCGGGCCCAATTCTATGTGTGTGTTGTTGTTTGTGTCTCCCTTTCTTTAGGGTTTTATTGGGTCTCTCTTTTGAGGCCCAATTAAAACCCTAAGGGGGGGGACCTATGCTTCTTTCCTTTTGGGCTTCTTTTGGGGCTTATTTGGGTCTTCATTTGAGGCCCACTTAAGCACCATACGAGGGCCCTCCTCTTTCTCCTTTTAGGGGAGCTTATTGGGTCTCTCTTTTAGAGGCCCAATAAGCTCCTTTTGTAGCCTTTTTGTGGCTTATGGGCTTGAGGGCCTCAAGTGGGCCCACCTGCCCTTAGCCCACTTGTGGGCCCCATATAAGGGGAGGTAGGACCCCCCCTCAAGGGAGCGCCGAATTTTGTGAGCAATTATCGTTTGTGAGATACCTTCTTCGTAACCTAGGATAGGAAGGGAAGGAGGGAGAGGAAGGCCGTCAATACCCTGAGGACTTCGTTCATCATGACGCTGCTGCTGGAGAAGTCCCACCGCTGCCTGAGACCACTGCCGCCGCTGGACATCTTCATTGCCTCCCGTGAGATCACCGCCATCACCGGACGAAACGGTCGTAGTTGCTGCTGCAGCCGCTGCTGCCTCAGCTGGAACCCCGTCACGCCATCGTGACGAAAGGGGGTCACTTCGCCTCCCTACGAGCCGTCGCCGAGCACTCCGCCGGAGTCTCTCAACTCCTAGTTAGACTGTCACCTATTCCTTCGGAACTCCACCATAAACTCGCCGGAGTTGCCATTCGCCGCTCTGCCCAGTCGCTGACTGTTTGCCGACGAACGCCTACCTGCCGCCGACGTCGAGAGAGACCCTGCTGCCGTGCCGATGAGCCAGATCCAGTCCAAGCTCCTCACAGGCCCCCGCCAGAGTTTCCCAACGATCCGCCGCAGTCGCGCCGTTTCCAGCACCGCCAAGACCAGGAGGGCTCAACCCTCCCTGGTATCGTCGGCCGAATCACCTCCGTCCTCTGCTCCACTTCTCGGCGCCGCCAGAGAAGGCCGATCCTTCTGGCGACAGTTGGGTTTCCGCCCATCCGCCGACGCTCGGCATTCCCGCCGAAGCGCCGTCAACGCTCGGCACTCCCGCCAAAGTGCCTTCCACGCTCGGCACTGCCGCCGAAGCGCCGCTGACGCTCGGCATTCCCGCCGAAGCACCGCTGACGCTCGGCATTCCCGCCAAAGCGCTGGCGCTGCGTGCACCCTGCGCGCCCACCAGGCGCTGCCGCCCGCATGCCCTGAGACATGCCACGCAGCTTGCTGCACGCGTCCACTATCGTGCCCTTCGGCCCACCAGTGGACCTACTCCCGATCCGACCGTGCCACGTCTTATGACGACGACTACAGCGACTCTCGACCAGGACTGACCATCGATGCTGAGCATCGCTCTTCACGAGACGTCTCTACTTATGTTGAGTCTCCGCTCTGTCATGACCTGCCGGGCTACGCAGCCTGAAGGTTAGCTCCGTACCCCTTCCTCTTAAGTTTAATTATCTTTCGAAGGGTTTTCTCAGCTCGTTTCCACCGCCATCAAGAGAACGTAGACAGGATAGGACGGGTTATCAGATCGTGACTTCCGACGCTGCGCTAGACTCGTCACCATTCGTGAGCTGCAGCCCTAGGCTACTTCACGACGACTGTTCTGCCGTCTATTCGAACGTGGACCGAGAGGGCCTCACACTTACCATCGTTGAGTGTTTCCCCGGGTTGTCTTAGGTTGATCATTCATATTGGTACGCCTGCCTGTACTTAGGTTACGTGGTCAGACCTAGAGTCTAGGGTCAATACATTCTAATCGGATCGGTCCGACTACCCCATCCCGGGTCTTGAGTTTCATTGATTAGGTACAAGGATCTCGCCCCATCCTACATCAAATTGGTATCAGAACCAAGTTGGGCTACCACCTAACCTCGGTTCCCTAAGGACGCTCACCGAGCTTCCATACCACTAGTAGACCATTCATTCATATAGGATTGTATTGGCATCTAGGCACCCATAGGACCCAGTCATAGTAGAAACACGCTCAGCTAGAGCTTGAGGAGGTTCACCATCGTCACAGCACTCGCCCGAGGCCTCAGATCCTGCCACTCTCCAAGTAGCTAGAGTGGACACGAGTCCACCATCTCTGTCAAGACAGACAGATTTGGTACCAGACCCCTCCCAACCCTGGGAGACTTCGAGCCCTATGTCAGTTGGAGAGGCATCAGGGTGGCCCCAGCTGCCCGCGGCTACGAGCCACTGAGCTGGGAAGGAATCCGCACCCTACTATCCATCGAAGAGTACTAGGGGTCGTGGCAGAGGTGGCCGCCAGCAACCTTCACCCCAGTACCCTTCGAGGGATGGAGCACGCTCCCTCCTAGATGATGTCATGTATAGCATGACCTAGGCTATTGAGCGTCTGGAGCGAGCTACCTTTGTAGCTGCAGCTCATGGCCCACCGCCAGTCGTGTATCCGGTCGCACCACTTACCACACTGCCTCTTACACAGGCATATCAGGAGCATCGTGAGCCCCGCTGGCCTGTGAGCCCCTATAGTGATCCATATGATCACCAGTACCTCGATCACGATCATCGTCGAGGGAATCTTCGTCGCCACGACGCACCTCGTCACGACGATGGCCACAATCGATTGGGCGGTCGTTGGCCACAGGATACTTATGATCGCCGCAAGCCGGTCTACCCGGCTTGTAGGGACGATCCCCCATGTACGCCACCACCACCACCCTGACCTCACTACGAGGACTATCGACCCCACGGACGCGACCAGGGACATGACAAGAGAGACCTTCCGGGTTACAGAGCTGATCCTTTTCGACGAGAGGAGCTCGATCGGCGAGCAGAGCATCAGCCACGAAATCACGATGATTCATACCACAACTACCAACATGCTCCGGACTTTCACCAAGCACCCTAGGACACCCACCAAGATCGATACTACCATCAAGGGCGTTATCCGAGTCCTCCCCACTATGACTTTGGTGGTGACCATGGGGCTGATCGATTGGATGATCGGGACAGGCAACGTGAGGATCACAGGGCCCACATACTGAAAAGTGTGCGTGCCGATGTGGCAGTCTTTGATGGCTCCCGTGAGCCAAAGGACTTCATAGATTGGGAGTTTAGTATGAACTCCTATTTCCGGTGGTACCACATAGATGATGATTTATGTGTGGAGTATGCGGAGATGAGACTTGGCGGATAGGCCAAGATCTTTTGAGAAAACGAGAGCTACGCGGCACACCGACGAGGGCAGCTCATCACATCATGGGTTGATATGGCATCACGCTTGAGGAACAAATATGTCCCTCAACAGTACGAGTCGATGATGTTCCTTAGTTGGTTAGACCTCCGACAGGGCAAGATGCCCGTTCGAGACTACATTCAGGCTTTTGAGGAGTGCCGCATGAGCTGTTGCTTTGTCGAGGACTCACGTGTGATTTTGGGTATTTTCACCCACGGACTTAGTTTGCGGCTTTGGAACGAGGTGCTGAAAAGCAACCCGTCTGAAGTAGACGAGGCCTACCGCATAGTAGAGCATATGAAGCGACCCGCCGAGGACACACAGTTCACCCCACCTCCGATCACCACGAAGATCGTGTCCACGCGATCTACACAGACACCGACGATAGCACCGACGCGTACTAGCGTAGGGAACGGACGGACTACACTGGTGACATCAGTAGGGTCTGCACCACCCCCACATCCGCCACCAGCCGACACAATCGACCGTGCCACTACCGCGTCCCAAGCCCATATCACTTGTTTCAAGTGTAAGGGTAAGTGGCACCGAATGAGCCAATGCCCATCTTTGAATCTCCTCATAGAGATCGAAGAATTAGGTAGCGGTTCACATGAGGATGACGTCTTTGTAGGCAATGATGTCTACATTGCTGACGAGGGTTTAGCTGAGTGTGATGACACTTTTGATTTGATTGGCTACATCCAGATCTGGCCAGCCACCGTATCAGCAGTCGAGGCTGCCTCTCTCGCTGCTGCATTGACGAGCACTTCATCGAGGGGGCTGGTCAACATCGTTGTCTAGCGTCCATCTCGAGATACGGTTCCTACACTACAGCCAGACACCACGGCAGCTAGAGAGATCACCCCGGCACCGAGGACGACTATGTCCACTTCTTCGCCTACGACAAATGATTTTCTTTGCACGTCAATCTTCTACACCTATGTGAAGATCAACAGACATGCGTGCAAGGGATCATGGACAGCGGTAGTTGCGTCAATGACGTGTCAGACCAGGTCTTGCAGAGGGCAGGGCTGAGTACTATCAGCCATCTAGCCCCTTACGACGTATCGTGGATAGACGCCACCACCCTACCCGTTCGTCGATAGTGCCAAGTGTCACTTAGGGTGAGCACCTATGATGAGCACATCTTGTGTGATGTCCTTCTGATGAAAATCAGCAGCATCATACTTGGACGGTCCTAGTTGTTTGACTATGACGTCCAACTCATGGGAAGAGCAAACACTTGCTCTTTCATGTATCGAGATCACCGACTTGTTTGGTATCCACATACCAACAAGCCCGCGCCAAAGTGTGACCTTAAGTCACGTATTGGGTTAATCGTGATGAAGGGACCTGCCTTTCAGCATGAGATCACGTCGGACATAGATGGATCCCCAACGTGCTTTGCTCTCACTTTGGATACGCGAGATGACACGACCCTTACCTCGTCTTCTCCAGAAGTCAAGGGTATGTTATTGGAGTACATCGATGTACTCTTAGAGGAGCTTCCTAGAGAGCTGCCTCCATTGAGGCACATTCAGCATGCTATTGACTTGGTTCCCAAAGTATCACTCTCGAACCTGCTGCACTATCGCATGGAGCCAGCCAAGTACGAGGAGCTTAGCCGACAGGTACAAGAGTTTTTGGACAAGGGACTCATCCAGCCAAGCCTTAGTCCTTGCGCCGTGCCTACATTACTAGCGCCGAAGAAGAATGGCACTTGGCGCATGTGCTGCGACAGTCGCACGATCAATAGCATAACGGTTAAATACCGTTTTCTGATCCCACGATTACAGGACTTATTTGACATGATGATAGGAGCCACTATCTTTTCAAAGATAGATGTACGTAGTGGTTATCATCAGGTCAAGATATGCCTAGGGGACAAGTGGAAGACTGCCTTCAAGATCAAGGAGGGCATGTACGAGTGGAAGGTCATGCCATTTGGCCTCTCCAACGCGCCCAATACGTTCTAGAGGCTAATGACGAGGTTTTACGCCCGTTCATTGGCAAGTTCGTCGTAGTATACTTCGACGACATCTTGGTCTACAATGGTACCCGAGACTCCCACCTCCAGCACTTACGACAAGTGTTTGAGGCACTTCGACAGGAGAAGCTTTATGCCCATCCTAAGAAGTGTAGTTTCTTCACTTCTGGGGTTATGTTCCTCGGTTTTGTCGTCTCTGAGTGAGGAGTTTCCGCAGACCCCGAAAAGGTCCGCACGATAGTCACCTGGCCACGGCCAGGCAGCATGCATGACATCCGGAGCTTCATTGGACTAGCGACATTCTACCATCACTTCATTCAGGACTTGAGTTCCATCACCGCTCCACTTACTGATTGCCTCAAGAAGGAGACCTTCCTTTGGACAGAGGCAGTTGAGCAGGCCTTCGATCGGGTGAAGGCTCTTATCACTCAAGCATCGATACTTCGCCTACTCGATTTTGGCAAGGTATTTGAGGTTGCCTATGATGCCTCAGGCATCGGTATTAGGGGTGTCCTTAGTCAAGAAGGCCATCCCATAGAGTACTTCAGCGAGAAACTGAATGACGTGAGGTTTAGATACTCCACTTACGATCGTGAGTTTTACACCATCATTTAGGCTCTCAAATACTGGCGCCATTACCTCCTTTATAAGGAGTTTGTGCTCTTCTCGGACCATGAGGCCTTGAAGTATCTACACTCTCAGCGGAAGCTGAGCAATCGACACACACGATGGGTCGAGTACTTGCAGGACTTCACCTTCGTCCTTTGCCACAAGAAGGGCAAGGAGAATGTGATGGCAAACGCCCTCAGCTAATGAGTCCACTTGCTGAACCTCGTGAAGGTTTAGGTGACAGGATTTGAGTCCCTACCGGATTCTTACGTAGATTGCCTGGACATTGGCCACATTCTATAAGCACTTTCGAATGGTCCATCCCGAGATCATAAGGACTTCCTTGTGGTCAACAGATGTCTGTTCTTTAGGAGCAGACTGTGCGTTCCACGCACATCTCTCTGTGACTTCCTCACTTGGGAATGTCACGCAAGAGGTCTATCCGGCTATTTTGGTCGCGATAAGACCATCGCAGCGGTCGAGTACCAATTCTACTGGCCGACCCTCAAGCGTGATGTAGGGAATGTCGTCACTCAGTGTTGAGTGTGCGCACTCGCCAAGCAGGTAAAGAAGAATGCTGGACTCTACACGCCACTTCTAGTGCCAACCCGCCCATGGGACGACGTCAACATGGACTTCATTTTGGGACTCCCGCGTACTGCACGATGACATGACTCAATCATGGTGGTCGTCGATAGATTTTCAAAGATGACACACTTCATGCCATGTTCAAAAACCCCTGACGCCTCCAAGGTCGCTAGCCTCTACTTTAGAGAGATTGTGCGCCTTCATGGACTACCCAAGTCCATAGTCTCAGACCGTGACATACGGTTTACCAGCCACTTCTAGAGGACTCTTTGGAGCTTACTTGGGACTAAGCTCAAGTTCTCCACAGCTTACCATCCACAGACTAACGGCCAGACTGAGGTCGTCAATTGTAGCTTAGGGAATTTGCTTCGGTCATTAGTCGACGAGAGCTTGACCACTTGGGATCTAATCATACCACGCGCCGAGTTTGCCATGGAGTCCACTCCCCTCATTTTACCACCTGATTGGCACGAGCGAGTCGAGGAGATTCTTCGGGAGGTAATTGACTTTACAGGGGATGGAGTTTCGCGGAGATTCCTAGTACGTTGGCAGGGTTGCTCGTCGAAGGACGATGCTTGGATTTCAAAGGCGGACCTGGAGCAACTACGACCAGACTTGCTGGAGCCCCTACCTTCCCCACTTGTCAACTCATCAGAGTCGAGTTCTTTCGACACTGGGAGGATTGATGGCGAGCAGGACCCGTCTCCATCAGCTCAAGAGACACTGGCAGTCCGAGTTCTGCTCGATTGAAGTGCGAAGACGAAGGAGCCTAGCTTTCGCTACACGGCTTAGCCCTTCGGGACAACGACATTCCACCTCTACGATGACAACGAGCTCGAGCTCACCCTTATCTTTCTTTGTATTTTCACATTGACTTGCTGGGCCTTGCGTTTGTGTGTTAGCAGGCCCAATTCTATGTGTGTGTTGTTGTTTGTGTCTCCCTTTCTTTAGGGTTTTATTGGGTCTCTCTTTTGAGGCCCAATTAAAACCCTAAGGGGGGGGACCTATGCTTCTTTCCTTTTGGGCTTCTTTTGGGGCATATTTGGGTCTTCATTTGAGGCCCACTTAAGCACTGTACGAGGGCCCTCCTCTTTCTCCTTTTAGGGGAGCTTATTGGGTCTCTCTTTTAGAGGCCCAATAAGCTCCTTTTGTAGCCTTTTTGTGACTTATGGGCTTGAAGGCCTCAAGTGGGCCCACCTCCCCTTAGCCCACTTTTGGGCCCCATATAAGGAGAGGTAGGACCCCCCCTCAAGAGAGCGCCGAATTTTGTAAGAAATTATCATTTGTGAGATACCTTCTTCGTAACCTAGGATAGGGAGGGAAGGAGGGAGAGGAAGGCCGTCGATACCCTAAGGACTTCGTTCATCGTGATGCTGCTGCTGGAGAAGTCCCACCGCCGCCTGAGACCACTACCGCCACTGGACATCTTCATTGCCTCCCGTGAGATCGCGGCCATCACCAGACGAAACGGTCACGGTTGCCGCTGCAGCCGCCGCCACCTCAGCTAGAACCCCGTCATGCCGTCGTGACGAAAGGGGCTCGCTTCGCCTCCCTACGAGCCGTCACCGGGCACTTTGCCGGAGTCTCTCAACTCCTAGTTAGACTGCCACCTCTTCCTTCAGAACTCCACCATAAACTCGCCGGAGTCACCATTCGCCGCTCCGCCCAGTCGCTGGCCATTCGCTGACGAACGCCTACCTGCCGTCGACGTCGGGAGAGACCCTGCTGCCGTGCCGACAAGCCAGATCCAGTCCAAGCTCCTCACAAGCCCCTGCTGGAGTTTCCCGACAATCTGCCGCCGTCGCGCCGTTTCCAGCACCGCCTAGACCAGGAGGGCTCAACCCTCCCTGGTATCGTCGGCCGGATCGCCTCCGTCCTCTACTCCGCTTCCCAGCGCCGCCAGAGAAGGCCAATCCTTCCGATGACGGTTGGGTTTCCACCCAACCGCCAATGCTCAGCATTCCCGCCGAAGCGCCGTCGACGCTCGGCACTCCCGCCGAAGCACCATCGACGCTCGGCATTCCTGCCAAAGCGCCAGCACTGCACGCACCCCACGTGCCCACCAGGTGCCGCCACCTGCGTGCCCTGAGACACGCCGCACGGCTTGCCGCGCGCGTCTGCTAGCGTGCCCTTCGGCCCACCAGCAGGCCCACTCCCGATCTGACCGTGCCACGTCTTACAACGATGACTACAGCGACTCTCGACCAGGACCGACCGTCGACGCTGAGCATCGCTCTTCACCGGACGTCTCTACTTACGTCGAGTCTCCACTCCGTCACGACCCGCCGGGCTACGCAGCCCGAAGGTTAGCTCCGTACCCCTTTCTCTTAAGTTTAATTATCTTTCGAAGGGTTTTATCGGCTCGTTTCCACCGCCATCAGGAGAACGTAGACAGGATAGGACGGGTTATCAGATCATGACTTCCGACGCTGCGCCAGACTCGTCACCGTTCGTGAGCTGCAGCCCTAGGCTACTTCACGACGACTGTTCTACTGTCTGTCCGAACGTGGACCAAGAGAGCCTCACATTTACCATCGTCGAGTGTTTCCGCGGGTTGTCTTGGGTTGATCATGCATATTGGTATGCCTGCCTGTACTTAAGTTACGTGGTCAGACCTAGAGTCTAGGGTCCATACATTCTGACCAGATTGGTCCGACTACCTCATCCCGGGTCTTGAGTTTCATTGATCAAGTACAAGGATCTCGCCCCGTCCTGCATCACTGACCCTAAGACTTAATGAACAAGATAGGGGTTTATTTAAAGACACACAACGCGACCGAGACAAAAGTATGGTGGAAGGAAAAACTAAGTGAAGAATATTTTTTATTTTATTGAGTCATTCCAACATAATTGATTTCCTCAGCATGAACAACTTAATAAAATTCAGTTTTTTCTCAGCAGGATCCTGTGAACTAATCTCTTACAAAAATATAACAAGTCATTAGTTCATCATGAAAAACTTTGTTAAATAATACTTCAACTTCTGACAATCGGATCTTTTGGTACTCCATTAGAGACTAAGAACGTTAATCTTCCCTTTCACAACAAAAACGTTCACTATCACTGTTATTGCGAGAGGATTATACGATATATAGTTGCAAACCAAGAGATAAATGGAATGGCATTCCTGAGGTAAAAGAAAGTTATTGAAAACATGATACCTGATGAGCAAATTGTTGAATTAAAGTCAATGACTGACAAAAACCAAGACCTAGGAATGATTCACAAGATAATATATGTATATATATCGAGAGAGAGAGAGAGAGAGAGAGAGAGAGAGAGAGGGAAAGAGGAGGGAGGGGCATAAAGACAGAAGGTGGTGAGAGAAGGCATAATAAGTCACATTAGCAATCTAATGTGGAAGCTGCCTGGTAGATGAATATAACAAGGCCTTTTAAACTTACAATGGATGAGCACCTCTTGTCATGGTGTAAGCCCTGAAGTGATGAAAAATGTCTATTACTTAAACCAATACGAAAGGGCCAGCTAGAGCAACTGACAGTGGTTTCATGCTCTTGTATCGCAGCATTGCAAGACACTACCAACAAAACTATAGAAATGGTCATCGCCTAAGAAATATCTCTGCATTGCCTTATTGCCGTCGCCCCAAGGTCTCCACCCGTTTTTTATTCAAGAAGGGAAGTGAGCAAAAGAACTGAGATTACCTCACGACTCAAGTGTTTTTCTAGCTGGAGTATGGGTCTATTCAGTCACACATATGCACAACATGTACCACCAGATGAAGACTGTCAATGTTGAGAAGATTGTCAATTTTTTCAGCATACCCGTTCAAGTGATGTTGGTGAGGATAAACTACGTTGCGGGGTTTCTGTGGGAAAAATAGGCTGCAAATAGAGGAGGGAGAGAGTATTCTAGCATTCAATATATGATTATTTTGATAAAAAAATAAAATCAAATTGCACTACATGTATATATGATTAAAAATGTTATTATTTAGACACAATTGAAACTGATAATTTATATTATCCAAATGCAAATTCATTGAGTGTATTCATGACCAATTATTTTCAATTCATTTAGTTTGTTTATTTTGCCATGTGGAATTATTATTTTATACACTACTATGGAAAGTATCAATCTTTATAGAAACTACCTTCAGCAAAAAAATAATGATTAAGACATTCAATTTAGTGACAATTTGTAAAATAAAATCTGATTATGAAAGCCTAAATCTATTATGTACCTCATGATATGACATCATTACTTTCACATAATTTTGATATCCAATTAATTATTTGAATTTGAATTGTTCATACTACTTGATGAACTCAATTTAAAAGTTAGATATGTCATCATGATGCAATCAAGTTTATGTAAATAATATTTATAAATTCTCATTCTTCAGTTTAAGATAAGTAAAGGTCGATCTTCAAGGAATATTGTTAATGAGAGTAAGAATTTTACTTATTTTATTTCTTATATATATATATATATAGATATACTTGAGATTGTGAAGGTTGAACTTAAATCTAAAAAGAGTAAAGAGAAGAAAAATGAAAACTGTGGCAAATAAAAGAGAATGAATCTAATGTAATAGAATGATATAATAAATAGTAAAACTAGTTTGAACTAAGAATTAATCTATCAATGGAAAAGATTACAAAGACATCCTATATCTAGATCTTGCACAAACCTTGTTGTGCTCTAGTTCTAGGTCAAGTGATGCTTGATCTGTGATGATCTTGATGTGCTCTACATAGTCTCTTCTCTATGATGATTTTGAGCACAAGAATGCCATTGATCGGGCCTTGATTTTTCTTCTTTTTTCTTTGGTTAGCTGCTACTCTAAAGAGAGACAAAAAGCACCCTCTAAGAGAAAGTGAAATACTTAAACTTCTAGAGAATTAGGCCCCTCTAACAAACGATTATAATTAATAATTGACTCTTTTAGTGAATGGCCCAGATTTTTCCATGAGGGTGGCACTCTAATCTTTTTCTTAATCTCATCTTAAAGTATTCTAGAATAGACATCCTATATCTCATCTCTTGATATCTTTTTTAAGTCAATATTGGCTAGGCCAAGGTGATGCCCTCTCTTGGGCTTGTAAACATATTAGGTTGCCCCTCTTCATAAGACTTGGCTTTTTCTTGGATTAAAGATTTGGGCTTCTTTTATTACTTCCAACTCATAATAAGAGCTCACATAAGTCTTTGCAAACAAATAATTATTAAGAAAATATGAGAGAATCACTAATTGAGTTCATAAAAGTCAAGTGGGGTTAGTCTCATAATATAAATAAAATAATATATATTAAGACTTAAATAATAAAATATTATGAATGTCATAATGAGTTGGTAACATATGTATAATTGTATTCTCTACCCATTAATTAGCATCTATATATAAGATATTAATGCATAGATGTAACTAGTAATTTATAATTATCAATACTAAATAAAAAATTTAAAATATTAATAAATAACTTTCCAAAAATATGTTAACTATTGTGACTCACCAAAATCATGTTTATATATACTGAGGTAATATTCAACTATATATTTCATAATCATATTTTTTTTGAAGTGATTTAAATTAATTCCTTATTTATTTAGAAATGTGTCATCAAATCTTTAATGATATTAGATCCTTACCATACTAGACCAAATTGATACATTCTTAATATAGACATTATGGTTTTAAAAAATGATGTTTTGGTTTCTCATGAGGGTATCTAATCCATTAAAAAGACACATCATATTGGTTTTCTAACTGTTCAAATTTATTATAAATTAGAAAGAATTTGAAAATTGAAAATGGTAGAAAAGAGGAT